ATTAGTGGCGAATCCACCTCTACTACAATCGTACGAGTGGTGGATCCACCTCTAATACAATCCTTTTAGTGGAGAATCCACCTCTACTACAATCCTATTAGTGGCGGGTTCACCTCTACTACAATCTTTTAAGTGGTGGATCCACCTCAGCTACAATCCGATTAGTGGTGGATCTACTATAATCCTATTAGTCGTGGATCCACCTCTACTACGAACCTACTAGTGGTGGATCAAGCTCTGATGGAATCCTAGTAGTGGTGGATCCACCTCTACTACAATCCTATTAGTGGTGGACCCACCTCTACTACAATCCGATGAGTGGTGGATCCACTTCTACTACAATCCTAGTACGGGTGGTTCCACCTCAGCTACAATCCTATCCGTTGTGGATCCACTTCCACTGCAATCCTAGTGGTGGTGGACCCACCTTTACTACGAACCCATTTGTGGTAGATCCAGCTGTGATGGAATCCTATTAGTGGTGGATCCAGCTCTTGTAGGTTCGGTGGACCTCCTTGTGGGGCCAGGGCCACGATCCTCGAGAGGGGCGTGACGAAATGAAACTTCGGATGAACTCCCTGTGGTGCCAGGACCACGATCCTCAAGAGGGGTGTGCCGAAATGTTGTTTCGCTGGTGTTCCCTTTGGGGCCAGGGCCACGATCCTCGAGAGGTGTGTTCCGAAATGAAACTTCGGTGGAGTCCCCTGTGGGGTCAGGGCCATGATCGTCGAACGTGGTGTACCGAAATAAATTTTCGGCGGAGTTCCTTGCGGAGCCATGGCCACGATCATCGAGAAGGGTGTGCCGAAATGAAGTGTCGGTGGAGTTCCTTGTGGGGCCAGGGCCGAGATCCTCGAAAGGAGTGTGCCGAAATGAAATTTCGTTGGGGTTCCTTGTGGGGCCAGGCCCACGATCTTCGAGAGGGGTGTGCCGAAATACAGTTTCGGTGGAGCTCCCTGTGGGGCCAAAGCCACGATCTTCAGGAAGTGCGTGCCGAAATGAAGCAGCGGTGGAGTTCCCTGTGGGGCCAGGGCCACAATCCGCGAGAGGGGTGTGCCGAAATCGGGTTTCGGTGCAGCTCCCTGTGGGGCCAAAGCCACGATCCTCGATTGATGTGTGATACAATGAAGTTTCGGAGGAGCTCCCTGTGGCGCCAGGGCCACGATCCTCGAGAGGGGTGTGCCGAAATGAAACTTCGGCGGAGCTACATGTTGGACCAGGGCTGCGATCCCCGAAATGTAGTTTCGGTTAACCTTCCTGTGGGGCCAGGGCCACGATCCTCGAGAGGGGTGTGCCGAAATGAAGCTTCGGTGGAGCTACATGTCGGACCAGGGCCGCGATCCCCGAAATGTAGTTTCGGTTAAGCTTCCTGTGGGGCCAGGGCCACGATCCTCGAGAGGGGTGACCGACATGAAGCTTCGGTGGAACTCCCTGTGGGGCCAGGGCCGAGATCCTCAGGAAGGGTGTGCCGAAATCGAAGTTTGGACGAGTTCCCTGTGGGTCCAGGGCCACGATCCTCGAGAGGGTTGTGCCGAAATGAAGCGTCGGTCCAGCTCTCTGCGGGGCCAAGGCCGCGACCTTCGAGAGGGATGTGCCGAAATGGAGTTTCGGTGGGGTTCCCTGCGAAGCCAGGACCGCGATCCTCGAGAACGGCGTGCCGAAATGAAGTTTCGGTGGAGCGCCCTGTGGAGCCAAATCAACAATCCCGTGGGGAAGTCAACCGAAATGAAGTTCCCGTGGGCTTCCCTAAGGGATTCTTGTTTGTTGCTGACTGCTGGGGGGGCACGGGGGCCCAACCCGCGTTTATTCCAACAACAACAACAACAACAGCAGCAGCAGCAACAACAACAATAACAACAACCACAACAACAACAGCAGCAGCAGCAGTAGCAACAACAACAACAACAACAACAACAACAACAACAGCAGCATCAGCAGCAACAGCAACAGCAACAGCAACAACAACAACAACAACGACCACAACCACAACCACAACCACAACAACAACAACAACAACAGCAGCAGTAGCAGCAGCAGCAGCAACAACAACAACAACAACAACAACAACAACAACAACAACAACAACAACAACAACAACAACAACAACAACAACAACAACAACAACAACAACAACAGCAGCAGCAGCAACAGCAACAACAACAACAACAATCAGTTTCAGAACGTTCGCTCGTATCTGCTCGCGCGCCATTCAATATGCATATCCCAAACCCTGGGTACCCGCCATCTTCGTCTTCGACCGCACCCCCTTTTGGGGGGTATATTCATTCCCTGTCACGCGTGGCTGGTGAGACCCTTGAGAACGAAGGGTAACAGATAACGGAAAATATTGAGGACGAAGGGATCGGAGGAAGGGAGGTGAGGGGCAAGAAGGAGGGAGGACGATGATTTGCGCTGCGAGTGGCGATTCAACTTGCGCCATGGCTTGCGCCAGTCACTCCAACATAGGTTAACAATAAGTTTGCCATGGGTCGCGCCGTGAACAGCGCCACGTACCCCCCCCCCCCCCGGAAAGAACATATCGTGGATACCCCCGCGGGGGGGCGCACAGCTGCGAACTGGTGCCAAAAACAAATTTCGTGGAACCCTGAAAAGAAGCGGGATGTTGGGGGAGTGGGGCGGAAGGACAGCGAAAACTGCAACCGTGTCAAGAGGAGAGCGGGGATGTGGAGCGGATTGGGACGGAGTGGACAAGAGTGGGGTCTCAGGAGGAGGAGCGGCAGGGAGAAGAGGAAGCGGGAGGAGTGCGGAGGAGCGGGGAGCGCACGGAGGAATCTGGAGGAGGGACTGGGAATAATTTGAAAGAAATGCGGAATGCGAGCGGGACGGGGTGGAGATTGTTGGGGTGTGATGGGGTGGCCTGGGGAGGAGTGGGCGGAATGCGAAGATCTGAAGAATAGCACAATGAAGTACGAACGACATGAAAATGAAGATAAAAGGAAAGAGTAGAGAAGACTGGGAAAGAACGTTGGAAAGTGGGGGGAGGTGGATACGAGCGGAGACTGGTGCGGAAACAAAGCGCGGGGGGATTGGAAGGCACCCGAAAGCCTCCTAGGAGCCGGTCGAGCGGGCGGGTCGTTGAAGCGTAAATTCTACTTGAACCGCCAAGCAATATTGAGCGGGAGCGCGATTCCTGAGTGTCGAGGAGCGGCATCTGAATAAAATGTGAAGAAGTATCAGGCGGGAGCCGCGATTCGGTTGTAACTTGCGAGGAAGTCCCCCAAGTGAGAGCGCGATTCTTGATGAAATTGTAAGGAAGTATCAAGCGGGAGCCGCGATCCGGTGGTAAATGGTAAGGAAGTCCAAAGCGAGAGCGCGATTCTTCAATACATTGTGAGGAAGTATCAGGCGGGAGCCGTTGTTGTTGTAAACCGGGGGCCAACAACGCAGTTTGACCTTCAAGACTTTCCCTGATAAAAACAAGGTGCGAACCCCGGGAAGGGCATTTCAATCGAAAAAACAATGTGCACCAGATGGGGGGATTAACAATAATTGTTCCTTCAATAATGAAATTTCAAAAACAACAACAACAACAACAAAACAACAACAACAAACAAGGAAATACATAACAATAATAATCACAATACTTGACAACTGTAATGAATGTATACATGTATGTTTATATATACATATGCATAACCATATACATATACGTATACACATACATATACATATATACATATACATGTATGTACATATACATATACATAAACACACATATACAAATTCATATACACATATACAAATACATGAACAGCTGCATATGCATACGCATATAAACATACATGTACAGACACATATACAAATACAAATACAAATACAAATACAAACTCAAATACATATACACATGAATTTACATATAAAAATACATGCAAGTGTACATATATCTATGCATTTACACATGCAAATACATATACGTATATATATAAATAACTACAACTGCATAACACATGTCCGTATATACAAACACATGCATATACATATACATATGCATACACATATACATATACACACATACATACACGTAGAGATATACATATATACATACATATACATATACATATGCAAATACAATTACGTATGCAAATACGTATACATGTACATATACATGTACACATACACCTACATATCCATATACATATAGATATACATAAACCTATACATATATATACACATGGGCATAAACATATGTGTATGCGCTGTACATATACCTATACATATACATATGCGTATACATGTGAATGCACAATTACATCCACATATACATATACACTCGTTATCAATAATGATTGTGCACTTTTATATGTATATATATATAGCAATCTCATGATTGTGTAATAATACGACATAAGAATAAGAAGAAGAGAGAGAGAGAGAGAACAAAAAAGAAGGAACAACAAAAAAAATCGTTGGGACGAACTGAGACACATACTAGTACTACATGTCCTCCCTGGAGGCGCGTTTCCGACCCGAGCGTATAGTAGAGCCATCTTTGCAGCATATCGTTTCCCGTGCGGCGTGGCCAGGAGGCGCCCGCCAGGACGCATATACCATAAGATTTCTCAGTGCGCGCGTCGCCCCTAGGGGGGGCGACGCACACATGGTATCAGGTGCTGCCGACACGCACACATAGTATCAGGTGCTGCCTCCCCTGCCGGCGCTGGAGGCGCCGCCAGGGGAGGGGGAGCCCCAGTGCAGATCCAAGAAATCCGCGCGGAGGTCCAGAAATTTATGCTCATCCTGTTCTTCATTATTCGATGTTGGCTCGGGACTGGCGTTGTTTCCTTCCTGACGCAGCGGGGATCCTTCAGCCTTAGAACGATCAGCCGTTTCCCAAACGTCAGATAGTTCAACATCGACCGTTTCTGGGTCGCCGGCGACGCTCAACGTTGAACGCCGGCGGCAGGGACGCCGCCAGTCGACACGACGCGAACGTACCTTAACCATCCTCCCATCCGGACCCTTTTCGGTTCGGAACGATCCTCTCCCCCACGATCGGCTTCACCATGCCCACGCCGTCGCAGTTGAGGCACCTGCCGGAGCCCTGCACCAGATCGCCGCGGATGTTCTGGGCGCAGCCGCCGCACTCTGGGCACCCCTGCTGCGCGCGCCCGAAGTCCAGCGAGGCGCTCGTGTCCACGGAGGGCGCCAGGAATGTGGCGAAGAAGAAGCCCTTGCCACCGCAATGGGTGCACTTGCCAGAGCCTCAGAAGAAGAAAAACAACAACGACAACAACAACAACAACAACAACAACAACAACAACAACAACAGCAACAACAACAAGAACAACGACGACGACAACAACCACAACAACAACAACAACAACCACAACAACAGCAGCAGCAGCAACAACAACAACCACCACCACAACAACAACAACATCAACAACAACAACCACCACCACCACAACAACACCAACAACTACAACAACAAGAGAACGACGGGTTTCAGACGCCCCCCAGGGGAGGAGGGGGGAGGGGGGGGGGGGGGGGCGCATCGCATCGCATCGGGGGGTGGCGCTGCACCTACGAGATTGCTATGGGATCCCTGGCATTCCTGGATTGCTGGGGATTCGCCTGGATTCCTGGAGAATCCTGGGCATTCCAAGGGATTCCTACGGATCTGTACAGAGTGTTATGAATGTCTGGGGGTTCTTGAGGATCCCCCAAGATTCTTTTTAGGAGCCCATGGGATTTCTGAAGGAGGCGTCGGTGAACCTATGGATTCCTATGGATTCCATCGGGTTCCTGTGAATTCCCAGCGAATTCGGATTCCGATGGTTTTCTTGGGATTGCAGAAGACCTTTTCGGATTCCCCAGGGTTTCAGAGGATCCCGACGGCACCCGAAGGATTCTTCAGGATTCAAAGGGATGGATTCCAACTGATCCTTGGGGACTCCCCAATCTTCTGATGAATCGTGCTTTCGTTCGGAACGTCCTCGCGATTTGCACTGGCATTGCGCTGTCGCCGTCACCTTCTTTCCCATGTACGCGCTGTCGCCTAGAATTGTCGCTCAAGCTTTCCGCAGATTTTACTCAGGAGTCGAGCTCTCGCTCGATAGTTCCTCGCATTGTATTCGAGAAATGAACTGTCATTCGCTCGCTCTCTCGCTTTCTTTCTCTCTTTTTTTCTCTCTCTCTCTCTCTCTCTCTCTCTTTCTCTCTCCCTCTCTCTCTCTCTCTCTCTCTCGCTCCCAGAATGATTCGTCGCTTGGGACGGTGGTGGTGATGATGCCCTTGGTGATGTTGAATCGTGTTGTTGTTGTTGACGGTGATGGGGGTGCCTTCGGTGCTTTCCAAAGCGAGTTGCTCGGCCGTTGCATGTTGTATGTTTGTGGGTTTGCGGATCAGCCAAACCATGTGCGTTTAGATGCACGACAAATTTCAATTCCCGTTACGCCGTTGCGTGACATGCCGCTTTGGGGCCGGGCCTGTCGGGAACCAATTCCCAAAAAGGGTCGCTGTGCCATAGCTTTCTGGTCTGTATGCGGGTTCACTGTCGCATTCTTCTTAGTGCGGCGTGCTTACGGAGGTTCTCCCTGTAAGGATTGCTTTATGGAGGTTCTCTGATTCCGGCTCTTTTACGAAGGTTATTTCAGTCTTGATATGTTATTAAGATTCTTTCACTCAAGATTATGTACTAAGGTCATCTCAGGGAGGAATCTTAACTAAAGTTTTCATGAGGACTGCTACGGAGGTTCTTCTGGCGAGGACTCTACAGCAATATTCCCGAAGGTTTTGTTTAACTAACGTTCTCTCAGTGAGGACTATTGAGTAACCTTCTCGCAGTAAGGTTTCTTTGCTGAGGCCTCGTTAGGGAGAACTCTTGAGTAAGAGTCCCGTAGGGGGGATTCTTCATTAAGGCTCTCGCAGTAAGGATTCTGGACTAATGTTTCCTACATAAATATTATTTATGGAGGCTCCTTGTGGAAGGATCCTTGAATGCTATTCCCGTAGTGCGACTCTCGAATAGGAGTCCCTGGGTAAGGATTCCTCAAGGCGTACGGATTATTACTCCGGTTTTCGTAATACGAACTCTTGAGCGAGACTCCTGTAGTAAAGATTATCTATTCAAGTTTTCTGAATAAGGACTCCGGAATACCACTGCCGTAGTGAGGCTTCTTGACTAAACTTCTCTTGTAAGGACTGGAATAAGAACCCCGCAGCAAGGATCCTTCATTCAGGTTCCTTTGAAAGGGCTCTGGAGTAAGAGTCCCTCAGTAAGGATTCTTCATTAAGGTACTCCTAGTAAGGACTCCCGAATAAGACCCCGGTCGTCAGAATTCATGATTCGGGCTTCTGTGTAAGGACTCCGGAATGACATTTCCGCAGAAGGGTTTCTTTAGTGATGTTCCCTGGCTGAGAACTCTTGAATAAGAGTCCCGTCGCGATGTTGTTTGTTTTACCCGTATACTTTTCGTACGTAAAGACTCTGGAGTAATATTCCCATCGTAAGGATTCTTCCTTCAGGTTCCTTTAGTAGGAACTCTTGAGTAAGATTCCCATCGCAAGGCTTCTTCATTGAGGTTCTCTCAGTAAGAAGTCTTGCGTCATATTCTCATTGTAAAGTTTCTAAATTCTGTGGGTCATATTCCCATCGTAATGATTATTCATTCATGCTGTCTGCAGAAGGACTCTTAAGCAATATTCCGTTGGTAAGGCTTCTTTGCGAAGGTTCTCTTAGCCAGGACTCTTGAATCAGAGCCCCGCAGTAATTATTATGTGGTAAGGTGTTGCTAGTAAGGACTATTGAATAGTATAGTCTCGTAGTAAAGGCTCTGCACTAAGGACACGTTAGTAAGTACTCTTGAGTGATATTCCCATGATACGAACTCCTTGGTAAGCTTGCCTCAGTGAGAACTCTTGAGCTATCTTCCCATGATGCAAAATATTGAGAAGCTGCCCTTAGTGAGGACTCTTTAGTTGCATTCCCGTAGTAAACCTTACTGCTCTTAGTAAGGGCTCTTGAGTAAGAGCCCCTCAATAAGATTCGTCATTCATCTGCTTGTAGTAAGTACTCTTGAACAATGCTCCCATCGTCAGGATTCATTGTTAGCGTTCTCTGAGTGAGGACTCTTGGGTAAAATTACCGGAGTATGGCTTCTTTACTCAGTCTGTCTTAGTAAACATTACTGGACTAAGGTTTCCAAGTAAGGATTATGTAGTAAGGGTTCCTCATAAAGGGATTCCCGACACAGATTGTCCTTGTCAGGGCTCTTGAGTAAAAGGGTTCCTCAGTAGGGATTCTTCATTATGGAGTTAGTAGATGCCGAGCTTGCGTGGGGGCGACATGGCCTGAGAATTGTCGGCGCTTGTAGGCGCCTCAGCCTCGTCGATGGGATCTGGCAATCGAATCCATTCCCATCGGAGGCCAGCCTAGAAGCCGGTGCGATGCGATGCGGTGCTCCCCCCCCTTCCACAAAGGGGGCGTCAGAAACCCGGCGTACCTCATGTCGGGAGCGACGGGGAAGCTCGCCCCATTGAAGGGGTTCAGAAAGCTGGCGTTCCCATCAACAACAACAAAAACAACAACAACAACAACAACAACAACAGCAGCAGCAACAACAACAACAACAACAACAACAACAACAACAACAACAACAACAACAACAACAACAACCACAACCACAACAACAACAACAACAACAGCAGCAGCAACAACAACAACAACAACAACAGTAAACAGTAAACAACAACGACGACGACGACAACAACAACAAGCAACAACAACACCACAACAGCAACAACAACGACAACGACAACAAAAACAGCACAAACAACAACAACAACAACAACAACAACACAACAGCAACAACAACAAGAGTAACAACAACAACTGCAACACCTACGGCAACAATAATACTCAGTATAAGACTGTTCGTTCCTATCTGCTCGCGTGGCGTTTAACACGTCTCTCCCAAACACTCTGTACCCGCCCTCTTCGTCTTCGGATCGTACCACCATGGGGGTTAATCTTCCCGACCTGCAACGTGCATTTAGCGCAGCCCCTAAAGCAGGGGAAGAGAGGATGGATGGAAGGGGGAGGGAAAATGATGGAGCACGAGAGAGATTACCAAGAGGGAGGCTACGCGCAAAAAACACGTGACAGAACCAAACGGGCAGATCGGGCGGATAGACCCTAACGGGCGGGTCGGGAAGGCGGGTCCAGGCGGCCAGGTCGAGCAGGCTGGTCGCTGAGCTGAAGCGTAAGTCCTGCATGCATCGCGAGGAGGTCTCGAGCGATAGTGCGATGCCCAAGTATCGTGAGAGAAATGCCAAAACGAGAGCGTGATTCCTGAGTTTCGAGGGCGCGGTGTTTGAATAAATTGCACGGAAGTCCCATGCGAAAGCGCGATCCCTGCATTGATTGGACGTCCCGCGCGAGAGCGCGAATTGGGAATGATCTGTGAGGAAGTATCCAGCGGGAGCAGCTGTTGTTGCAAACCAAAGGCCAAGAGGCCAGTCTGGTAGCACCACACTTTCCCGTGTATAATGCCGGGTGCGAGCCCCTGGAGGAGCACTTTAATTGAAATGAGAATTCACCCACAACAACAACCACAACAACATCCACAAGAGGAACAACAACAACAACCACAACGACAAACAACAAACAACAAACTACGAACAACAACGAACAAATAGCAAACAACAAACAACAAACAACGAACAACAAACAAGAAGCCTGACGAACGACCGAACCATATGCAGCTGCAAGTACCAGGAGGGTAATGAGAGTGTGCCCGGAATGAATGAATGCCTGGGACGCATGTGAACGCACCCCCCGGGGCTTTCGGTGGAGCTCCCTATGGGCCCACGAACCGTGTGAATGGTGTACCGAAATAAATTCCTGGGACGCATGTGGACGCACCCCCTGGGGCCTTCGGTGGAACACCCCATGGGGCCACGAACCGTGTGAGGGGTGTGCCGACAATGGGTGGCGGGGACGCATGTGGCCACACCCCCTGGGGCCTTCGGTGGAATTTCTTCTGGGGTCGCGAACCGTGTGAAGGGTGTGCCGAAACGGGTGGCGGGGACGCATGTAAACTGCGCCACTGGCACCTACGGTGGAGTTCCCTATGGGGCCACCAAACGTGCGAGGGGTGTGCCGACGGGTGGCGGGGACGCAAGTAAACTGTGCCGTTGGGGCCTTCGGTGGAGCTCCCTGTGGGGCCACGAACCGTGTGAGGGGTGTGCCGTAATGAGTGGC